AACTACTTCACAGTTAGGGCGGCTAGGAGCTGGAACCAACTTCCAAGGGAAGTGGTGCTGGCCCCTACCCTGGGGGTCTTTAAGAAGAGGCTGGATGCCTACCTGGCTGGACTCATTTGAGTCCCGTTTTTGTTTTGGGGTTTTGTTGTTCTCCCGCCCTGGCGGGGGGTCGGGCTAGAAGATCTACTAGGTCCCTTCCGACCCTAAATCTATGAAACTATTACCAGGTCTCAAGCATCCAGCAGGCTGGCCCTGGGAGGTTCCTACCCAGCATGGTGCTGGGCAGAGGAGTGAAATAAGTCGGCCTCTTGTGGGCCAAAATCAACTGTAGTTGCTGCATTGGTCTATTACCCAAACCCAGATGGATTTAAATGGCATTGTGTAGTGGTGCACCCCTGTCCAATACACTGTGGACCAACACCCTATGAGAGTCTTGTAATTAACTTTCCACTGGCCAACTTCCAGCGGGAGGATCTTGGCTACACCCCAACTTTATAGAAACAGGGGTGCAGGGGCAGAGGCTCCTCCCTAGCTTGCTCCTATGGCGTTTGGTTGAGGGCAAGTGAGACTCAGGGGCATCCGAACCCCAATCCTCTGGGCTTGGGCCTGCACATCAGATGCCTCCCAACAGATCCGGAAGTATCTGAAGCCCCCAGCTGAAAGTCTGGGGTGGGTGATACTCGCCAGCTGTAGCACCACATCCAGTGTTTGAACGGTCAAGCGTTGCTGAGTCGAGAGGAGTCAGTACTGATCTGGCTGATTTGACCTGGCACACAAACAATTTTTCCCAAAATAAAAGCCGGATGCACCAAGCTTCAGATGAGCCCTGGGCCCAGAGACCCTGTGTGCTCGAGGACCAGCTAGGGCCCACGCCTGCCCAGCTCTGGCACGGCCCGCGCTGCCCCTTTCCCCAGGATCCCCCCGAGCGAAGGGGCCATAGCAGCATGCCCCGCGGGGTGGGCGACCCCCTCTAGCCCCCGGCCCAACACCCCCCACTCACCTTCATGCCTCCGCCGGCGCTGCTGCGGGCGCTGCTCGCGAGGGCCCCGCACAGGCGGCACGAAGAAGGAGGAGGAAGAAGAGGCAGCGCCGCGCAGCTGCTGGGTCCGCGTCCTGATCCTGGCCCTGGCCCTGGCCCTGGCCCCGCCCCCGCGCCGGGCTTCGGCTCCGGCTCCTCCCGCCCGATGTAAACACACACCGGGGAGGCGGGGAGCAGTGCCATGGCAACCCGGCCGGAACCGGAAGTGCTGCGGTCAGGCTGCCTGGGGGCCGCCATGTTGGGAGTTTTTTTGAGTGGGGCGGGAATTCTCTCCATCATGCATCCCTCCTTTCCATCATGGCCTCCCCACTTGCTGGACTGTAGGGTCAGCCCTGCTGCTCCCCTCCCCCGCCAGCTAAGGGATGGATAAGCCCTCAACCTGCTGCTCCTCTCAGGGGTGAGCCCCTCTCAGCTTTTGGTGGGGCAGTTGCCCCATCCTAGTCCCTCTCCTCGTAACTGCTGCTGTGGCAGGGGCTCCCTCGTTTTCCCCTGCCCCTGTGTAGGACTGTCCCTTCCCTAACTTGGGTGGGGGGGGAAGTGGGGCCCTAGGGATGCGGGGTGAGGAGGAGCATGGGGCACAGCGAGCTCTGGAAAAACCCATTTCCAGAGATGTCCTGTCTCCAGTTCCGGGGTGCGTCCCGACATCCCTTTAGCCTTCCTCATGTGGGCATTTCCTCACACATCAGAAAAACTGGTCCGGAGTAGTGCTAGGCAGTGTTTTGCTCTGGGGATAGTGTTAGTGTTAAATAAATTGCTGATTTTATCCCCTGGAGGCTAGTCCAATTCACCTCTAGAAGAGAGTCACACTTTCAGGCTGGGTCCAACTCTATTTTATTGCTTGCAAGCAGGCCGACAGAGGAGCTTGTTGCTCAGATCAGTGTCGACCCTAAACAAAGAGCGCACGTGGCTTTTATTGAGCTAGCATTTTTTTCAGTTGACGTGTTACATTTTGATTGGTCATTTCAAACCAAAACCTGAGCAACCTATAAGATATACGTAGTGGGCTATCCTGTACCGTATGGGTGGAAACTTACAGAATGCAGGGGTTAATACTAAAACAAGGAACAAAGAAACAGAGAGAAAAGTATCTATTTTTGCTACATTAGAGCAGTGCAAGACATGCACTGGGGTGGACCCCATCCTGGCCAGGGATGCACCTTGCCTGGAGCAGCTGGGAAAGAAAGCATCATCAGGTAAAGGAAATAACCAGGGGTGTTCCAGGTCCCAGTCTAACATCTGAGACTTGGAATATTTTTGCTTTCAAAACACTGGTTACTACTGGGCTTAATTCAGTCAATAAATCATAATATAGCATAAGATGCTAATTACTGAGTTTTGGATTACATAATGATAAATACCACAGCGGGGAGTTACCTTGCTAGCACCAGAGAGTATTCGGAGATCCAGGGCTATCTCAAGATTTCAGCAGCACCACATGTGCTTTTTAAGGGGAGTCAGCTTGTTCAGGTACTGGGAGAAGAGGTGTTCAAAGCATGGAATTTCTCTAATTTATAATAAAAGTCTTTTTACCAGTGAGGATAGGAAGGATCAAGTATTGTAAGTTCCTCTGTAAAAAATCAGCACGAATTTGTTGCCTAGTCAGTGGATGCATTTACACCTTCATTAATGTACTGTAGTTACTGCGTGTTAAGTTCAGTACTTAGATAACCAAGTACTGAACTTGGACTAAAGTACTGAACTAAGGACTAAATCAATGTGCAGTAACTAGTTCTATTGCACAGTAGTGAGGGTGCAAGGGTTTTTTTTGGATGTTAACTACACAGTAGCCTAATACTACTGTGCAGTAACATATTAGCATGGGTTTTGCCTGGCACACCACTGCACAGCATTATTAAGCTAGTGTGCAGTTCATGTCTCGTGTGGATGCACTCGGTGGCTAGTAATCATCATCAGCAATTATATGTTTTTAAGGGCTGTTGGAAGTTCTTTGTAGCCATAGATGGTACATCACAGCATAGTTGTAGGCACATCCTATTTGTGTAACGCAGATGTGATGGAAGAAATAGTGACAGTTCAAAATCATGGATTTTTCTTTACATTCTTCCAAGGGTATAATACATAGACCATTTTAACTGGTTTAAACTACAAGCATAGCTGTCCAAGTCAGTCTGAAATGGCTGAGGCTCCTGGAATATTTCAAAACCATACCTAGATGATCAAATATGATTTTCAACCAGTTCTCCATGAACTTTTTCAATGCTATGTGCAGACACCAAACTGGGATTAGCACTTGATCAGTGCTCTACATGCCATGCTACACTACTTCTCACCAAGCCGCCCTACCAAGGCAACTGGCTGCTCTCATATGCAACCAGAACTCCTTACTCCAACTCTAATGCCTGCACTTGTCTGCAGTCTGCGTTGTGCTAGACTGATTTGAGGTGATGTGTAGAAGTGGAGAGGTGCCAGGTGGGTGGGGTGGGTGCCCCTGCTTCTGAGTTTCAAGAGAGCTGGGTGCTTCATGGGACTACTCAAAATCTTTGCTTTATCTCTTGGTTTTAAAAGGACTTTCCCTGCAAAGTCACTCAATTACTGGTACATCCATTGCCTATAATCCGCCCTAGTCTGTGGTGTCCCAGGCTGATTTGGGGAAGTGATGAGGGTTGGGGTGCTTAGGTGGTTGCTAGGTGCCTACTCAATTAATTTGCAGCTCAATTAATTTGCATCATCAGCAATTGCATAAAGATGTGGTTCAGGGTAGAATGGGCATGGCAGGGGGATACTATGCAGAAGGCAGGGAACAATTCACAAATAATGAGCCAGTTCACACTGACTAGGCATGCAACTGATGGCTATTCTGTGGCATTAAGTGTCCATTGTGAAAGTGCTTCGTTTTGCCTGACCCAAGAATTGATGGATATTTACCATTAAATGCACACCCACCCAACCCAATTACAAATTGCGAAGTACCATGAAATAATTTTATACTGAGTTTTGTATACCAGCACTACTAGAGAGTAACCCTGTTTAATCAAATAATAAATGAGTACATTACGTTGCACGTCAAGAGGTACATGCTTAACCCAACTTCAGTATATTTCATTGTGCAGCTACCAATGGCATCATTGGTATTTGGAGTAGAAGCCTGGCAAGGTTTAGTGTATACCCTTAAAGTATTATCCATTTGATTAAGAGTTTTTAAGAAAAAAAGGAAATTCCCACACCCAAATTTTGAATCTACCATTGATCTGAACCTGACTAGAAGTTACAGTGTGATGACATAGTTTGGGGAAAGACAGATAGGTAGCCATGTTAATCTGAAGTAGGAAGAAGGCAGGGTAAAAGCTTATGCATTTCTGCTTCAGTTAGTCTATAAGGTTCATCTCTACCCTGCCTTCTGCCTGACTTATTTTGGGTAAACTTTAAACCTTGCAATGAGTGGACCATTACTGAAGTACCAAACCAATGCCACCTATCAGATGTCTAAGTGGCCTGAGGCACCAAAGCATGACCCAATTCCACCTTACTCATGTCCCTGAAAAAACATTCAAACAACTGCTTGTTTTAAAACATTAGCATCTTGCTTTTAAAACTAGGTGACAAAAAGCATTAAGCAGGAGGAAGACCCATCACCTTTTGCATTAACTGTTTTTCAGGGACTTGAGCAGGGTGGGCTAGGGGGATAATTTCATCACCCAGTAGGTGGAACAGGATCTCTAATGCGTAGTCTGCAGAAGCTCAAAAAACTAAGAACACAGTTATTATCCAAACTAATTTTTAGAAGTGCATGTTTCCAGCTACCAGAATCTTTCAGGGATATAGTTAAATTCTACGTTAGTTTTTGGAAGGGGGACTATCAAATGCAATAATTTTTCTGTCTAAAATTTAGTTTGAAATAAAACAGAAACATTTTCATATATTTTTATGTTAGGGAAAACTATTTTTATTTAGAATTAGAAGTGACTCTATTGTCATGGTCAAAGAAAGAAGAGAAAAGTGATTCAGATTTGTTAAATCTTTCCATTCTAATACTGTAAAGTATATATACTACTACTTCTATGGTAACAAACTTTTTAAAGATTTGCATTCTTTTTTTGCCTGACTGTTCCTTCAGAGGCTCTACCTAAGTCCACAGACAGCTCCAGAAACCTGTCATATTTGTTTAAACATTCATTGTTTCTCTAATCTTCCATTCATGGGACTGACTGGAAGCCACCCCTCTTTCATGATAAATAATTGGTGTTTAGCAGTAGCACAGTAAAGTACCAAATAATTAAAAAGTTACCTCCAGAGTTCTGTGTGGCACTGAGGGTCACAGATAAGATTTCAGAACCTGAAGTCTGTTGGTCTTTTGGCATCTCTTTTGAATTCTCTTGGTCTCTGGCTCTCTTGGTCTTTTTTGCATCTTTTTTTTTATTTCAGTATAGGCTTCCCTATCCAGGTGAGAGTAAAATAGTGTCATTCACAGATTTGCTTCTAGTATCTCATTTTTATCCCTTTGATTGATGGCAGAAATAGGTTTTTTTCTTCCTTTTTTAATGTGTTAGAAATAAGTTGGAAAATTATTTTTATTCACTTGAATATTTATATTCCTTTCAGTTCCCCTTCTCTCTCTGCTGTACTATTACATTTTTGACAGGCCTGAACATGTGAAAAATAAATGTATTGTTTTTGCAGGTGAACCCTAAGTGAGGCTGTGTAGGTAAGTGTGATTTATACAATACAGGAAAATTAGTGTAATCAAATAACCAGGAATATACCGGCATTCTTACTAAGTCAGAATCAATTAACCATAAAGTATATTGATGTAAAGAGCTTGGCACATCTCACTGCTTAGAGTTGCATATATTCCTTAATGGTATTTATGTTATAGTCTGTTTTTTTTTCTTTTTAAATAAGAAATATTCTTGCATAATATCCATTATTATTTCTCCATTATTAAGACTCCCATGATATGAACTTACAGCACTTAGCCATTAGTTTTGCAAACTACTCTCGTCATCCTTCCCCTCTTCTCCAAACTGCAAGCGCTAGGCTCTCATGTGAAACATCATGAACTCCAAACAGCAGCTTTGCTTCTTTTGTAATCATTTTTTGATCTTTATAGAGTTTCTTGACAGCTTGTTAAAGAACAGCTTTAACTAAGGCTAGCTGTTAATGCATATGGCAGAGTAATGCTGGAGTGACTAAATGATGCAAGGGTATAAC